GAATCCCTCATATCCGGAATCCCTCATATCCGGAATCCCTCATATCTGGAATCCTCATATCCAGAATCCCGCATATCCGGAATCCCGCATATCCGGAATCCCGCATATCTGGACATGATTTTGATACGTATATTTGAACTATTTGGGTGATATGTAACTGATTAGAAATTTCTGTTTTTCAGGAAATTTACTTTGGATAATTGCTTATTTCACCCTAATGGCTTGTATTGGTGCAAAAGATGATGGGAATAAGAGGAAAGGAGGACAACGAGACAGATCTGCAACATGATAACGACGAGATGCATGATTGTGATGAAATCTGGACTGAAATTGAAAAAGCTATTGAAAAGTTTGTCAGTTGTATGGAAAGAAAGCCAGCATTCAGCTATGACGATTGCAATAACGCACGCAGTTAAAGTGTCTTTCGTTTAAAAAATTTCAAGAACAAAAGCAAAACAAAATGCGGAAATAGTTGAGAATGACATTAGAAGAGAAAGAATCATCATGCAACAGCGATTAAAAAATCCTCGTTACATTATTTGTTTTGCATACGTGGCATACTTAATTTTCATTAACATTACATAATTTATTTCTTTTGCCGGAAGGCCTTCTTAGTCCGGATGTCAGGGATTCTACTGTATTTGATTTAATATATCTTAATAAAATAAACGCCATGTTTAATTTATGGTAATGAAATAAATAATAACAAACTACCGTATTTGACGGCAGATAAGACGCACGTTTTTTTTTTTTACTAAAATATCTTTTAAAATTCCTCTGCGTCTTATACGCCATATGTAGATTTAAAATTCGCGATAGTCGGCCGAAATTAGCTACCCGGCAACTCCTATTAGTTTAGACTTTAGAGTAACTTTCATATACCTATTGTTATTATTTAAAAGGCTATTATGCAAATTAAAAGTGTTATTATTGATACTATTCATTATATTAATTTCATCACGTTTAATATTAGTACTTTGTTTCACTAAAATTATATGCAATAAATTCAAATTATATATTTGTAAAATATATTTGTTCCATTAATATTATTCTTGTAATAACTTCCGGTTGCATTGGTATAAATACAATCAGAATTTTTATATCCTAATTATTCCACAATAACGTTTACAAGTCGCAGGTTGAACAGGCAACTTTTTAACTGAATTGTAATGTTTCTTCGTATAGTGAATGCATCCTTCTTATAGTTATTGTGCATCTCGTTACAGGAAAATATGTTGATGTTTTGTAGTGTAGCGTTTTATTAATTTTTCATTTTTTTTTTTTTTTTCGGCGTTCTTACATTTTCCCGTTTGCTGGCAGAGAGCGAGTACAAAAACCGTCCATATCGTCGACTGTCCCAAGTGCTTTTGGGCAACTTCCTTAGCCATTTTCAAGTGGTTTATTTTTCGAGCATCTTTCTTTTTGTAGATTATGTGTTGATAGATCTTTTTACGGCGCTTTGCTCTGATAAGTGACATGTCAGGCGTCTACTCAAGAAGGTATTAGTATGTCCAATACATGTAAATGATTTATAACAAGAATCTTGTAATGGCAGTGAAATTAATGCACTATATTGGTTATCGCTGTGAGTGAGGCCTTGTATATTAAACATCTCGCTCACACTATCAACCTCACCTTATTTAACAGTGGGAATGGTCTGTTGAAAGTTTGTTTTTTTTTTAATAGAAAGGTGCTCACTTGGATTTCAGCCGAGGTCAACACGCGAAGCTCGGAATAAAGGCTCCTACTAGTATTTAAAACAACACAAAAAATACATCTTAAACAGTCAAACATGAAGAGAAACAAACATCCTTGAAAATGACTAAAGAAGTGTCAGAAAGCGTTTGGGAAAATGGACAATACGGACATTTTTTGCATTACCTTACTCCTGCCAAACGATAAAAATGTAAGAATGCTGGAAAACTAAAACAAAATGAATTAAATTTTCTTTGTCATATTCAACGAAACATATTTAAAAGAAAGGTTGATGCCCAAACATATATATATATATATATATATATATATATATATTCAGTTGTTTGTAACCTTGGGTTTCACGCTTTTGCGATCATCAGAGAAACTGGTTTATTTTTTTAGAATTGGATATATTTATGTTTGTCTGATTATGTTTGTCGGCGGGAGGGGAAATTTACTTCTGTGTTTGTTTGGGGTGACACTCTCATACACATAGACACACATACATATAGGTGTAAGCATTTTAGCTCAGACAAAGATACATATAAACAATCAAATGAATATAGAATTTTTAAAAATTTAAAAGTTTATAAATTATTTTAATTACGTTTTTTTTAAATGAAAACAATTTTTGTAAAATTAATTATTCATCGTTTTCATAATACAATAGTGTCCATAATAGTTTTTTTTTTTATCCACAAAAGCAATTAAAAGCTTTTCTAATTAAAAAAAAATATCTTAGTTTTATTGGATTCTTTATTTTACCATTCAGAGCAGATTTTCTTGAAGTCCTGTTTGACCAAAAAAATTGATGATTTAAATTCTTCAAGAACTACAAAAAGAAATTTTTAAAAAAATGTCATAAAATGAAATAATTGGTGGGTAACAAATATAAAAGAATATTTTTACCAAGATTTTGTAA